GAATTTGAAATCTGCAAAGCACTCAGGCATAATCTCAAATGTCTGTTTATCTTTTTCTTTTCTTTCTTTCTTTTTTTTTTTCTTTTCTTTTTTTTGAGACAAGGTTTCTCTGTGTAGCCCTGGCTGTCCTGGAACTCACTCTGTAGACCAGGCAGGCCTAGAACTCACAGAGAGGGCTGGAGAGGTGGCTCAGAAGTTAAGAGCATTGGCTGTCCTTCTGGAGGTCCTGAGTTCAATTCCCAGCAACCACATGGTAGCTCACAGCCGTAATGAGAATTGGTGCCCTCTTCTGGCACGTAGGCATACATGCAGATAGAACACTGTATGTATAGTAATAAATTTTTTAAAACTTTTAAAAAAAAAAGAACTCATAGAGATACAAGTGCCTCTGCCCTTCTTCCTTGAGGGTTTAAAGGCATGTGCCACCACACCTGGACTTAAAAAGACTGTCTCTGTCTCCCTCCGTGTGTCTGTGTGTCTGTGTGTGTGTGTGTGTGTGTCTGTGTGTCTGTGTGTCTGTGTCTCTGTGTGTCTCTGTGTGTGTGCCATAGCATATACATGGAGGTCATAAAACAACTCTGGGAGGCAGTTGCTCAGTTGCTGCCTTTCCACCTTGTGGCCTCAGTGTTTCTCTCATTTCCTCCGCTATGCAGACCCCTGGCTTATTCTCCTGTCTCTACCTCCATCTCCAACAAGGTGTGCATGCTAGAATCATAAATCCATCCTGCCACATCACAACCTTCTAAGGCTCCTTGGAATCAACCTAGGGTTGTCAAGTTTTTAAGCTATCTCTTTTATCCACTGAGCCAACTCCCAGGTACCATTAAGAATCTTTCTATTCTGTGGCCAAAAACACTGATGACAACTTATGCTGGAGAGGTTCTGGGATTAAGGGAACACTCCTGCATTGCTAGTGGGAGTGCAAGCTGGTACAGCCCCTTTGGATGTCAGTGTGGCGATTTCTCAGAAAAATTAGGAAACAACCTTCCTCAAGACCCAGTAATACCACTTTTGGGTATATATTCAAAGGATGCTCAATCGTACCACAAGGACATATGCTCAACTATGTTCATAGCAGCATTGTTTATCATAGCCAGAACATGAAAACAACCTAAATACCCCTTGACCAAAGAATGGATGAGGAAAATATGGTATATTTACACAATGGAGAACTACACAGCAGAAAAAATAACAACATCTTGAATTTTGTAGGAAAATGGATGGAACTAGAAAACATTATTTTGAGTAAGGTAGCCCAGACACAGAAAGACAATTATCACATGTACTCACTCATAGGTGATTTTTAAACATGAAGCAAAGAAAACCAACTTACAAATCACAATCCCAGAGAATTTAGACAACAATGAGGACACTAAGAGAGACTTACATAGATCGAATCTACATGGGAAATAGAAAAAGACAAGATCTTCTGAGTAAATTGGGAGCATGGGAACCTTGGGGGAGGGCTGCAGGGGGGAGAGGAGAGGCAGGGAGGGAGCAGAGAAAAATGTAGAGCTCAATAAAAATTCATTTTAAAAAGGGAGGGAAAAAAAGAAAGTATCACTTTGAGTGAAGTAACTCAGGCCAAGAAAGACAATTATCACATGTACTCACTCGTCAATGATGTTTAAACATAAGGCAAAGAAAACTTACAAATCACAATCCCAGAGAACCTAGACAACAATGATGACCTTAAGAGAGATATTCATGGATCTAATCTCCAAGGGAAGTAGAAAACTACAAGATCTTCTGAGCAAATTGGGAGCATGGGGACCTTGGGAGAGGGTTGAAGGGGAGGGAAGAGGCAGGGAGAGGAGCAGAGAAAAATGTAGAACTCAATAAAAATCAGTAAATTTTTAAAAAAAAGAAAAAAGAAAACAAATCAAGGAAGCAAATAAACAAAAGCCGGTGGGATGCTTCAGAGGGTACAGGCACTCACTGATAACTAATGGCTTGAGTTTGATCCTTGGAATTCACATGGGGGAGGACAGAACTGACTCTCATGAGTTGTCCTGTGACCTCCACACCTCTCTGTGGCATACATGCCTTACCAACTCCCATCCCCTGAACACAAATACATAAAAAAGATGTAATTAAAAGCAAAAATCTCAAACCTGTAAACAATAACCTGAACTTAATCAAGGTTAAATTGAACTGATATAAAGGTTTCCTTAACAAATCAAAGATATGTGAATGAGAACACCTATAAATGTTATTATTGAAAGATTCCTAGGTTCTAGAAATATGTTAAATATATAAAAATATAATTAATTAAGTATGAAAATTTTTTTAAAAAAGAATCTTTCTATTCTGTGTTTTCATGTCAATGACAATCCCAAACCTTTTATTTAATATTCAGGATCAAGCAGATATCTATCTTACAATTCAATCTGGTACCTAAGCCTGAGCTGTGCGCCCCACTGAACAGCGGTTCTCATAGAGGAGGACCCTAAGCCAGCACATCTGTCTAGGCACCAGCATGGCAAACTGGTTCATCCCATAAAAGGAATATTACCTACTTGAGGTTTATCGGGCTTTAGTTCTGCTTTTGCCTTTAGATTTAATAGGCATGTATTAGAGCTATAAACATGCATACATACATATACACATACATACATATATATGTTGACAGAGGTTTCTGTCTTGCCCTATCCCATGGCCATTCAGTCCCAAAGAAACACATAGAGGCCTACATTAATTATAAACTGGTTGGCCTATTAGTTCAGGCTTTTTTTATTATCTAATTCTTACATCTTTCAGTAACCCATAATTCTTGTCTGTGTTAGCTGTGTGGCTCTGTACCTTTTATCAGTGAGGCATTCTCATCTTGCTTCCTCTGCATCTGGGTGACTACTGCAGACCGAGCCTGTCCTCTTCCTAGAATTCTTCTGTTCTGGTCACCTAGTCTATACTTCCTGCCTGGCTATTGGCCAATCAACATTTATTAAAACAATATAAATGACAAATCTTGTATAGGGTACAAGACCATTGTCCCACTGCACATATACGTACACATAGTCATATATATATATATATATATATATATATATATATATATATATACATACACACACACATATGTGTGTGTAAAAGCTTTTTGTTAAATTGGTTAAAAGATTTAAAAAAACAGATTCAGATAGAATCTATGAGTTCACTACTGAATATCCACTTATAATTACTTTTAGTAGCCATGCAGAAACCAGCCAACCTCTGAAGAATACTACATTAATTAATATTTCATTTATTTAAAATAATCCAGAAAAAATATGTCAAAATGCTATTAGTTCTCCTCTGTGAGTCAGTGATAAGGTGTGTGTGTGTTAGGTTGTTTTTAATCGTAATTTTTTAAAGTCTGAAAAGAAACTTCGGTTTTAAAACGTCAGAGCTGGCAGGCAATACGGATGCCTGAGAAACTGTCTTCAGGACGTGGCAGGACCATTTGCCTTCAGAAACTCAGAGCAGCCGGGGTTGCCTGTGCAAGACGAAGACAACCAACATTCCACCCACTGGTGGCTGCTGGAGGTGGAAGAGTCAGTTTTCTTCAGGGGAGTGGTCCCTGATTGGTTACCCACGCCCTCCAGATGGTCCTACATCCAAGCTCCTATGTACAGTATTAACTGGACTCAGCTACATCAGAAAAAGAAAGGGCATAATGTGGAAGGGGGATGTGGGGTAAAGGGCCTAGGAAGAGCAAGAGAATGAGAGAGGAAATGACTAAAATATACTGTACACATGCATGAAATTCACAAAGAATAAATCATTTTCAGTGTGTTTTCTTGATCTACACTACTTTAGGTTCAAAAGTGTGATGGTTTGAATAACAATGGCCCCCATTTGTTCACAGATTTGAATAGTGAGTCACCAAGGAGTGGCACTACTTCAGAGGAATTAGGAGGTGTGGCCTTTGGAGCAGGCATGGCCCCGTTAAAGGAAGTGTGTCATGGGGTTAGGCTTTGGAGTTTCAAAAGCTCAAGCTGATTCCGGGGTTTCTCTTCCTGCTGTCTTTGGATCCAGATGTGGAACCCTCAGTTACCATATCTGCCCGTGTGCTGCCATGCTCCCTGCCATGAGGATTATGGACTAAAACCTTTAAAACTGTAAGCCAGCCACATTTGAATGTTTTACAAGAATTACCTTGGTCATGGTGTCTCTTCACAGCAACAGAACACTGACTAAGACTGAAAAAAAATCAAAACTATACAGTCAAAGAGCAATGGAGGGTGTGGGGTGGAGGAATCATGGGGCCAAAGAGCAGCAAAATATTGGAAAAATGCAAATCTAGTGATGGTTGCCAGTCTCATGAATGAGCAGGAGCAGGCTTGGTGCTGTTATTTAGATGAACTATGACTTAGAAAGCAGGCCATGAGAAGACAAGAAGAAGGACAAAAATCATCGTTGCGGGGAGCAATGTATAAGGGAGGGTGAATTAAGCCCCATATGCACTCAAAATTTGTTATAATTAATGAAGACCAAAAAACAAAGTGATTGAAAATTCAATTCCTCCCGTGCCTTCTCACCTCGTATACCATTTGCTAAACCCATTCTCTCTAATTCCGTTCTGATACTGCCATGACAAATTGTATACTAACACAGTGACTTTTAATTTTATACTTATTTATTTCATTGTTGTGTGCATGTCACTGTGTGTGTGGAGGTCAAAGGACAATTTTGTGGACCTGGCTCTGTTTTTCTACCTTTATCGGTGTCCAGGAGATGGAATTCAGGTGCCAGGCTTGCACAGCAGGCACCACTGAGGCATCTCTCCAGCTCCAACAGAACTTTATGGAACTAAAATGTAAGTACATTAAATGTAGTGATTTTAAAATAAAATTAAGAATTTTGGGTGAAAAGATGGACTTCATTGATTTTTTTTCCTACTTAAATGACTTACAGTATCGACTTTCCAAAATTTGAAAGAAACAAGACTTTTTTATGTTTTTTTTTCTATCTTTAAGTTCTCTGATGATTTTTCAGGCTCTTCTGGGCTCTATAATTTTTATGAAACAATACAATGCAAATTCCACAGATATTTCACCAGGCAGACTGAGTTTTAATGCAAATCAATTGTAATCTATTTACTCAGTGCCTCTCATGGGGAAAATACAGAAAGCCCGATTGTGGGAGTATGGACCCCAAAGAAACAGAGTGAATAACTTATGCTTCTCGCGATCACAGAAATTTCATGACAGGAAGCCGAGAGAATGAGGGTAGAGACCCCTGGGTGGAGCAGGCAGGATGTCCCACACACAGGTGCTGAACATGCGTGTAAACACATAGATGGATTTGGTACCTGTGGATAGAAACAGTGCGTGTTTCTACACACACACACACACACACACACACACACACACAAGTGTGCTTAGGAAAATAAAGTTCACCAAGTACAAAAATTCATATGTGGAGCAGAAAAAGAAAACATAGTTTAGAGTTATAGTCTGTCAACAGTTTTAATCATGAAATTCCTCAAAGAAATTGGGGGAGAGGAAACTGTTCTTACCATTTTAAGATGCTAACTGAAATCTTCCCAGATTTGATTAGTTGCAAGAATTTCTGCCATGATGAAACCCATTACTATTACAACCCCCTCCAAATAGATGTAAAAGTGAGTGTGATTTCTATAAAACATGCATTCTGAAATAAACACTGTTCTCCTATAAATGCCTAGTAAATTCTAAACACCAAAGGCGCTGACATCCACCAAGTAAAGTTGGAAGAAATTCTTCCAGGCCTGCACGTGATGCACAGACATACATTCATAGAGAGCTAGGGAGATGGCTCAGCCAATAAAATATTTGCCTTATAAACACAAGAACCTGAATTTGACCTCCCAGAACCCACATGAGGAGAGAAAAAAAAAAACAGATGCAGTGAAACACATTTGTTATCCCAGCACTGGGGAGGCAAAGACAGGCAAACCCCTGGGGCTCATTGGCCAGTCAGCTCTGCAGTCTCAGACAAAAGCTGAGGCCTTTGTCTCAAAACAAAGCAGACAGTCGTTCTGAGGAACAATGCCCACGTTTGTCTTCTGGCCTCTACATGCACAAATGCATGCACTCTCCACACATGTACACATGCATCCACAGAGAGAAAGATTAAAAAGGGACATTTTAGGATGTTTGTTTCAAAAATAACATTAGATGTAATACTGCATCTCTACTGGCTGACAGCATGCTCAGATATATCCAGTGTGAAATTTCCCTAATTCCTCAGCCTAGTTACTGAGAAGCATAACAAGTCACTATGACCCAAAAACAATGATTTTTTTTCAGTTTGAAAAAAAAAAAAACCACTGGATATTTGTCTACACATGTCAATATAAGAAGATATGCTAGTATAATTTTCCCTAGTATATTCTGGTGAATGACTTCAGAAAAATCTAAACTTGTTACAGTTTTCATGCCCTTCACAATTTGAGTACATATACTCTGTAACAGATTAAAATATTCTGCGTTTTGATTTTTTATGGTGTGTTAACTAACAGGACGTTATGAAAGAGGAAAGCCCACAGTAATACCACTCAAATTTCCTTTACAATACTTCTCAAACTAGGGGACCGGTTTCTCCTCCCTGGGACACTGGGCAGATCCACCGATGTTCAAGCACTGTCAACATCCTTAAAAATCACTCAGTGTTAATTTCTTTACGCTCTTATTGCGAGCCCTCCTGATGTTCATTTTCCTGTAAATGAGGAAAGATACTGGGGAATAAGTAACATGAGTCCCTAACCAACAGCTTTTGGACTGTCCCTAGCTGCCCTACTGCCTGGAGCAAAACAACTGTCAGTCAAACAGCCAGCAAAACTACCTGGCCATGTTGAACACTCCACTGACCCCTTAAGGAAATGGTGTGCCCATCGCAGCCGCTGGCTCTGCCTCCTGGAGGTGTGGCTCTATTCAGGACTGACTGAAACCCGCTTGTACTGGACATTTAACTATCATTCAGCTTAGTGAACTCTAAACAATGCTACCATTTCCACTCGACCAGGGAGCATTGCCCCATTGCCCAACAAGGAAACTCTGTGGGTGCTGCTGATAGGACATTGATATGATTGGTGCAAACCCAAGGCTCCTTTTTACTCAGTGTGCTATGGTTGGTGCAAACACTCCCTCTCTTTACATCAGCAGGCTTTTCTGCTCGCCTCCTTAGTCACCTGGTAGACACCCTCCTGTGCTGCCTCCCCTGGTCTTGCGATATTAGACCCAATAAAAGGCTTCCCTTGAGTGGCCATTTCTTGGCCACTTTTAGTAGAGTGGACTGAGCTGGTGTCTTAGGGTCTCCTTGCTGTGAACAGACGCCATGACCACGGCAACTCTTATAAAGGACAACATTTAATGAAGCGGCTTCCATTATCAGAGGTTTAGTCCGTTATCATCATGGTGGAACATGGAGGCTGCAAGCAGACATGGTGCTGGAGAAGTAGTTGAGAGTCCTACACCTTTCAAGTAACAGAAAGTGAACTGAGACACTGGGTGTGGCTTGAGCATATAAGAGACCTCACAACCCACTCCCACAGTGACACCCTTCCTCCAACAAGGCCACACCTACTCCAACCAAGCCACGCCTCCTAATAGCGCCATTCCCTATGAACTTAGGGAGCCAATTACATTCAAACTACCTCAGCTGGTAACAAAGGAAGACAAAGCAGGCAGCAGAGCAGCAGGTGGCAGAGGCAATGGAGTGGCGGCGGCAGCGACAGCCGAGTGGCGTGCGCTGCGACAGCTAGGTGCTTGGTACCTAGAGTAGAGTCAGAGCGGAGCAGCTGGCAGGTTGAGCTGCAAAAGCAGCAAGGGGTAGCCTGCTGCTTCAGACAGTCAAGCTAGAAGTGGCCAGAAAGTTCCCAACTGGCAGGAACAAGATGGCGACCGAAGCAGAAAGGGCAGTGAGCTGGGGCTGGAGAAGAATGGAAGGTTGTAAAGAGCCAGAGCCTGGTCAGTAGACAAGCTCCAGAAAGATGTAAAACATTTAGAACAAGGGTCTCAGATAACTCTAGTACTGAGAACCGGCTTGGACACTGGACACCATCAAGGGCAAAGGAATACCCATAACCAGGCCTTCCTAAAAGGTGACTCACCAGCTGCTGACAGTCGGGAATCCTGACTTCCTAGGCCCACACAACAGGTGCGACACTTGCCCAACCAAGAGTTCTAGTAGCCTGGGCCTGCAACAAGCTAACACTTTAGCTACCGATCCCCTTAAGTAAAGCATGCACACGAGCCTAACACTAGAGGGCGCCACCAGCTACCACCGCAGCTCTTGCCTGCCGCTCACTACCGTCAACCCTGACGGGCAGATTACTGTCCTCCCTGGACAGCTATGGGAGAGCCTTTCTTTGGCCACTCACAGCTCCTGGCTAACAAAGGAACTCCAGCCAGCTGCTAGGTAGACTGAAGTAACTGCTGTACAACCTGCCGTTGTATAAACTACGCTACTCTGCACCAGCCTTCTCAAATGCTTTCCTTAAAGTCACATTTTCACAAGTTACAAGATTAGCTTTCGAGTCATGTGCAATATAAAATCAGCCTTTGTCTCCAATTTTTATAAAATCTTATGATCTTCAGATAACCAATTCCCTTATCCATAGCAGCTGGAGTAGGGATCTAAAGTAAGTATTCTGAGCAACTCTGTCTGGCTGATCTCGATAGTCTTTACATTACTTAGTTGGAACGAAGTTTTAATAACTATCTCCGCAAACTCTAAAAGATCAAAGCCTCCTCGGGAGTAAACCAAGGAAGAAAGTATACCTTCATGCATCTCTACCTATTGTATCCCCAGGTTCATGTAGCAAAATCTATGCAAGGGCCAGAACAACGACTCAGTGGGAAAAGTATTTTCCATGCAAGTCTGGTGACCTGAGTTCGATCCCCAGAACCCACATAAAGGTAGAAGGAAATGATTGATACCATAAAGCTGTCTTCTGACCTCCACACAGGTGCAACGCCTGTGTGTGTACACATAGGCACACCATATGCAAATAATAATAATAAAAGTTAAATCTACCTCAAGGTTTATCTATTAAGATCACTAGGGAAAGTTGGAGCTCAGCCTCGGGCTCTCTTGAAATCTTAGACCTATCTATTCAACGTGATCGGAGTAGCCTGCATATCTGTAGTTTCTGTAAAGACTTTCAAATAGGATAACACAGCTCATTTTTTACAACAGCTTCTTTTTAGACTACCATTTCATACCAAAAATAAATAGACAAACAATGGCGGACTTGAATCCATACTGACATCTTTACAAAATCCAACTTCAATTCACTGGAAGGCATTTCCTCAATAAGTCCATTATGCCTCTAATCTGTTTTAACTCACGCCAGACACACCTACACCTCTAGTTTTCATATCAAAACACAATTTAAAACACATTTTCCCCATCCATTTTTATCTCCGAAACACACATACTTTAGTCTCCAATTTTTAGTAACAGGGATACAAAATTGCGTTGGCTGGAACGATTTTAAGCGGAAGGGCATTTTGTTAAATGTTAGTGTATTTGCTAAACTGTTTTCCCATCAGTCCGGCATGCTACTGAAGACAGTGATCCTGTGCCCTCATAATTTAGGCACACATTCATTACTATATCCGACTGCTACTGCTTTAGGGACTCAGAGTGTCCATGAAAATGTTTAAAAGGCTCTGACGGGACTGGGTTTGGTGGGGCACACCTGTACCTCCAAATTTCAGGGGCCAAAGTGAGAAGACTACAAGTTCTATGGTACCCGAGATCTACATGGATTCAAGAAGAGAACCAACTCCTTCAAGCTATCCTGACTGCTACGCACACACCATGACATACATGACATATGTGCCCCTACACTGCCACAAAACTGTAATTTAAAACAATTACATTGGCTTTGCTTTTGTTTGTTTGTTTTTTGGGTTTCTTTCTCTCTTTCCTTTTTTTTTTCTTTTGAGACAGGGTTTCTCTGTAAAACAGCTCTGGCTGTCCTAGAACTGACTCTGTAAACCAGGCTGGCCTCGAACGCACAGAGATCTGCCTGCCTCTGCCTCCCAAGTGCTGGGATTAAAGACGTGTGCCACCACTGCCCGGTTTGGCATTGCTTCTTTAACAGTACAATTAAAAAGAAAAAAAGTTAAGAAGTACCTGGGACAAGATTTTCAGTCTTCAGGGATACTGTGGGATCCCTATGACCAAAGAAGTAACTAAGAGGGAAGTTGCTTAGCGTCTCTACTACCCAGCTGTCACAAAGACCAGGGCCAGTGCTCAACAAACACCCAAGTCCCCTTGAAGTGAGCGGCTTCCAGCTTTCTCTGAGACAGATGGGGAATATAAAAACCTTGCAAGGGTGGGAGCGGAAACAGCTTTCCCCACCAGGTCTCCTGGGAATTAGACCAAATGAAGCCAGCAAAGCACAAAGACAGAGCAGGACCACTCTAAACTGCCACAGCGGGAGTTCTGCCTCCTTCAGAATGCAGTGGTTTATAAGAGCAGACTGACTCATCACTGCGATTAGTTACTGAGTGCTTCCATGGGCCCTGTGGTGGGAGCTCAGAGTGAGAGCAGGAAAAGAACGAGAGAGATGTGGCTCCTATCTGGCCAGGAACTACAACATTAAACAACTGTTTACTTAACTATCTGTCTCCTTGTAGGTATAGAATGACGTAAAAGTATATAATAGAGGCTCTGATCCAAAATAAATGTATTTACTGGAACGAGAAAAGCCAAAGTCTTGCCAGATCCCGTTTTGGCAGCTCCAAGCACATCTTTACCTTTCAATGCCAACCCTATGGTCTGTGTCTATTTCTCTATTACCAAGCGGTACTGAGCTTCCTATAAACCTGGCAGAGTAGAAAGGAGCCTCATACTTCAGAGATTTTCTATAGGATGCCTCTACAGGCTGGATTGTGTGCCTCTCTGTCTCAACGTTCCTGCATTGTCTTGGGGTGGCCGTGCAGCGTGCCTGTAATCCCAGAATTTGGGAGGCTGAGGCGGGGGAATCACAAGCTGCAACCTCAACAAAATAGTGAGATCTTGCATCAAAAAAGGAAGAGAAAAAGGAAGAAGAAAGGAAAGGAAAGGAAAGGAAAGGAAAGGAAAGGAAAGGAAAGGAAAGGAAAGGAAAGGAAAGGAAAGGCATAGTGGCACACACCTTTTAATTCCAGCACTGAGGAGGCAAAAACAAGAGGATCTAAGTGAGTTTGACACCAGCCTGGTCTACATAGTGAGAGTACGCAGATAGCCAGAACTACATAGAAAAACCCTGTCTCAAGAAGAAGAGAAAGGAAGAAAGAAAGAAAGAGAGAGAGAGAGAGAGAGAGAGAGAGAGAGAGAGAGAGAGAGAAAGAGAGAGAGAGAGAAAGAAAGAGAGAGAGAAAGAAAGAAAAAAAAGGGAGAAAGAGGGAACCTCCATTAAAGCCCTGGATCTGTGTGTGTGATCCAGGGCCTTGAGAGGTGTGCTTCAGTTAAAATGAGATCCTAGGGGCAGATTCCCACCCAACAAGACTGAATCCTTTGTAGGAAGCCATTCGAGCAAAGAAACACCAGGAGTACATGTATGCGCAGGGGCAACCATGGGAAGAAGCAGCATCTCTCCCTGTGACCCAGCGATGTCCTAACTACTTGGAATCAGTATTTATAGGCAGACAGACACCCATTCTCCCAGGCTCACTGCAATACTACCCACAATATCCAAGATAAAGAATCAACCTGTGCCCACCAGAAAATGAACAGGCAAGGAAGGTCCATACATACATGAGCATACATACATACCTATGTACATACATAACACAAGGCAATCTTTTCTGTCCTTAAAGGACATCCTGTCATTGGTGACAATACAGATGAACCCAGGGAACATTGAACTAAGTGAGATAATCCAGGTACAGAAAGACAATTACCTCATGATCTCACTTGTGTGTGGAATCTACAAAAGTCAAGCTCACAGAAATAGAACGGTAGTTGTGAGAAGGTGAGAGAGGGGAACCAGGATATGAAGTTGCCAGTTAGAGTAAGTTCAAGAGATCTACTGGACATCACAATGACCTCAGGTCATTACAATATGTTGGACACTTTAAAATTGCGAAAAGATTTTTAAATGTCTTTATCATTAAAAGTATGGAGTTGGAGAGACGACTCAGTGACTAACAGTGCATGTTGCCCTTGCAGAGAAAGCAAGTTTGGTACAACTGTCTGCAACTCCAGTTCTAGGGGATAAAACACTTTCTTCTAGTCTCTGCCAGCACCAGGCAAACATTCGATGTGCATACATAAAGGCAATTAGACGCATAGAATTAAAATACACAAATCTATTTTTAAAATTCAAAGCATACATAACATACACTACCTTGCCCGTCTTCTATCTTCAGAATGTTAAAATAATAAGTCACATTGATTGTGGAAGGAAAATTCACCTCAATCATCCTTCGAGGGCCAGATTAAGAAAGGACAGAGATCTATAAAACAACTCCTACACCTAAGGCCCAGCAAACATTGAGGAAGAGGAGCAGGAAGAGCAAGAGGATGAGGGTGTCTGCTGTGAGATTGTCTCCTAGCAAGGTCAGAAGCTACACCCATACAGTCTCATCAACACGACTGCCTACACTCGAGCTGAAAAAGGACAATAGACACGCCAAGGAGAAGGGGGAAAGCCCATGAGGCCTCACCCCTACACAGAGAACTACAGGCAACCAAGGAATGTTGAGAGTGGGAGACACGGTCTTCCCCGGGGAAGAGCACACCAACTGGTTATGTAGTAACAAATGGCCAGCCCTGGAAACATGCATACAAGTGACATACAGGCTGAGCAGGTTGTATTTAGGCACATATATGTATATACACATTTGCATGTAACAACAGTTAATGAAACAAGAGGCCATGAATTTGAAAGAGAGCGAGGCGGGGTATATGGGAGGTTCTGGAAGGAGGAAAGGAAAAGGAGGAATATTGTAATTGTAATCTCACAAATAAAGAAAAAAAAGAAGAGCCAAAATGACTCCAAGCCACAGCCCATGATGAGAATAGCTCTGTTTATATACCTTAGAGAAAAGACTGGAATTAGCTGAAGAAATAAATCCTGACAGCATGCACCTCTCAAAGCTCCAACCGTGCTCTCCACAACACCCAACTTGCTTGTTCTTAAGTGAAGCATCCTAAGAGAGACCCTGTTCTAGTTTACTTTTTCTGTGACAAAAATAGTAACCACAAACAACTTGAGGGGGAAAGGGTTTGTTTGACTTACATGTCCTGGGTCACCATCCATCACGAATGGAAGCCAAGGCAGGAACTCAAGCAGGGCAGGAACCTGGAGGCAGGAGCTGAAGCAGAGGTCATGGAGGAACACCGCATATTGGCTTGCTCAGTTTGCTTTTTTTATATGACTTAGGACCACCCAAACCACCCAAAGTAAAGTAGGCCCTCTCCCACATCAATCAGTAATGAAGAAAATGCCCCTGAAGACTTGTAGACTTACAGGCCGCTCTGATTCAGGCATTTTCTCAACTGAGAGTCCCTCTTTTCAGATTACCATGACTTGTGTCAAGCTGACTAAATCACTAAGCTTCAGAACAACGCAAATGTTTGGGTTATGTTTTGAAGACACCATAAGGCAACTTTATATAAAAAGAGACTGCATATTTGTTTCCCAGCCGCCCAGATCCGAATAATCACACAGAAACTATATTAATTACAACACTGGTCAATGGCTCACATGTAGTCTTAGCTAGTTCTTACATCTTAAATTAACCAATTTCTATTATTTTATATTTTACCAGAAGGATGTGGCCTACCAGTAAGGTTCCAGGAGCATCTTTCTCCTTTTGCAGCTACACGGCATCTCTGTGACTCTACCTAGCCTCTCTCTATCTCTATTCAGATTTCCCACCTGGCTTTACTCTGCTAAGCCATTAACTGAAACAACTTCTTTATTAACCAATAGTAATAAAACATGTTCATAGCATACCGAGGGGAATCCCACATCAGTTTCACACCATACAAATATTCTTTAGCAAGCACTGCATGTCCAGAACTTCATTTTAGATATTCAGTATCCATTTATCGCAGAGACTAGAGGCAAAACTATCAAATCACTCACAATTTGATAGAGGAGTGCTACATTGTAAGGTCTATTAAGTTACACTGTAGGAGATACGGGGTGGCAGCTGGATCTCATTGTACAGCATAAATTTACCTTTTCCACAACTTTCCTTGAGATGCAGGAAGGGTCTCACTACATTGTTCAGATTATCCTTGAACTTGAGATTTCTTGGCTTCAGACTTAAGTAAAGAGTACAGGTATGCACCACAATACACACTTTTTCCACAATCCTTAGTTTAGCTGAGGCAGGAGCACTCATTGACCTTGAAACAAGAAAAACACAAATATTGCTACATTGGTTTAATCCCTACCAATATCATCGGGACAGAGTAGAGTCACACTCAGGAAGGGCTTGTTCAAATAACAGTGTCCCATCAGGGAGCCTCGATGGCAGATCCCCTTCCAAGCAAACATTAACAGTTGTTCCTCCCTCCATGTACTTGTGGTACCATCCGCTAAGGAACTGTTTCCTCGAGTCATGTAATACCCGAGGGAGAAAGGAGAGGCAGCAGGTATAGCACAGGTGGGGGTGGAACGGCTATCAAAATGCCAAGTTCAGCACACCTTCCTACGGCCTGTTAGCCTCCTAGAGAGACAATCGGAACAACCAGGATTGTTCCAGCAAGGCCAGTCATTGTGGTACAGAACTATACAAAGCTATTGAAAGAGAATACCAGGGCAAGAACATGAAGTTTTGCCACCCTGATGCCCTAGAATGGGCTTCAGCAAACCATGGCTGAACGGGTCAAAACCAATGAGCTAGCTAGTTTCAATAACACTCACTGAAACATAGGTACAGTTGGTCACATAGACGTCATCACAGGTGTGACAGGCTCTATGTCCCACAAAGCCTGATACTGACAATGTGACCCTTTGCAGGCCCCCGTACTAGAAAATTCTGTTCAGAGGGATGCTTGAAAACCACAGCAGACAGTGCTCCTGATTCCCACAAACAAAGTCACGCTTGTTCCTGACTTTGTCCCTTTCTTAGAGGCAATGAGACAACTTCCAGTCCTGGCACTTTCCCTCAGAAAGCTTAATATCTCAATATCTTATCGGTAAGCTTAATAGGTCGGCACTATTACACCCCCTCTCTCACACACACACACACACACTCCCACCACATAGGATGGCCTCAGAAATACACCCCTCAGATGACCGGCTTCAGGGAGAAGAATTGACCAGCGGTGCTGGCTGTCCACCCACCACTCAAAAAGCCCTCCTTTCCCTCAGCTGCTCCCAGTTAATGCCTGAGCTCAGCTGCTACAGTACCCTAGCCCAGCCATGGTTTCCCTTATCCATGGCCCAGAAATATGGCATAAAATTCCAGGAACAAATCCTAAATGGTTGGCTACATTTATCACGGCACACAGTTACGACGATTCTATTTTATGATTGCTGGCCTCTTACTGTGCCTAATCTGTAAGTGAACTTTATCATAGGTGTATGTGTATTGGGAGAAAAATGTGGAGTTTAGGGCTTGGTTTTCACATCTCAGATATCCATGGCATCCTTAAGATTCACCCTTCACAGTAAGGGGAGGCAACGCCTCTGCAGCGTCTCCATTGCAGCAGGGCAGGGATTAGGACAGAAATTCCTTAGGCCAATTAAATGTGATGCCATCAAGTCCAGCAAAACAATGTGTAATTCAGACATCTCTAAAACCAGGGCAGGTCCGGGAACTTCAACAAGATTGGACAGCTCTTGGAGGAAAGCAAAATCAAGTCACTGAAAATGTCCCAACTGGGTGCAGCCTGGTCAACCAGCCAGTTAATATAGCCTAGTTAATTAGCTGTTGACAGCCCAGTCAGTTCTGGCTACAGAGATCTCTGTAAGCACCCCAACCTTTTATTAGGATTAAACTATATCGGTTTGATTTGCTGGCTCAGAGCAAGAAGTCAGCCCAAAACTATGGCCTCCCACGGAGGCCTACAGAGACTCCTACACTTTGCAGCCAGAGTCTCCATCAGCCTGGTAGAAATGGTCTTAAAATTGATCTTCGGGCATTAGTTGGTAGAGTGCCTACCTACTGCATATGAAACCCTAGGTTCTATCCCCAGCACCACACAGACCAGACATCCAGACATGGCATGGCACACCTACAATCCTGGCACTCAGGAGGTAGGGGCAAGGGGATCAGGAGTTCAATGTCACCATCAACTACATATTGCTACATGAGACCCTGTTGCAAAAATAAATGTTAAAGTAAGCACTGAGTGAATGTTTGATACTTCTGGATACAGAGAGGAAGGATATAGAGCAGTGACATTGACCTGCCAAGACTGATATTCTGATTAATAATAATAATAATAATAATAATAATAATGGCAGAAGTGTTCAGAGCTGTTTCAGAAAGATGTTGGAAGTCCTGTCTTAATCACAAGCCAAAATTCATTAGGAGATTTTTAATAAACTTCAAGTCACCAAACCCGGCAGTAACTTTTCCAATCAAGTGCTCTAACACAATACAGTCCCAAGATGTGTTCACTGATGTGCACATGCTGAGGAATGATGATGGGGAAATAGTGCAAACCTTTGTTTTCCAAAGTGAAGCCATTATGTTTCTGAAAGGACAGAAACTGGACGTACAGTAAAAACGCTGCAGTTGGTAGCCTACAAAGATTACAGTCTGAGCAAAAATGCCACAGGCAGTATTTGCTGCTACTTCATGGTGCAACGATGGTACGTGCAGTGCCAAGTGTGTGTGCTGTCTGTCCAGAGCCAAGGCTGCAGCTCAGTCTCTTGTTGCAACATAGAACAGCATGGTCAGGAACAGAGATTCGCTGCATGCTTTCTTAGTGAACTTTTGATTGCTGTACATGGAGACACCTTTTACTGTTCCCAAATGTTCCTCCGCCTCCACATCCAGCTGTGCAGTTCCTCCACCTTCATCTACAGCTGTGCAGTTCCTCTACATCCACATCCAGTTGTGCAGTTTCTCCATTTTCTCCTCCAGCTGTGCGGTTCCTCCATCTCCACCTCCAGCTGTGTAGTTTCTCCATTTTCTCCTCCAGCTGTGCAGTTCCTCCACCTTCTCCTCCAGCTGTGCAGTTCCT